GATCTAAGAGTAAAAGATTTCAGTTTTTCCCCATTTAGAATTATGTTAGCCATTGGGTTTTCATAAATCTGGCTTTTACCAGAGTGAAGTAGAGACCATCTATTCCAATTTTCTGTAGGACTTTGAACATGAATGCATGTTGGAGTTTGTCAAACACCTTTTCTGCATCAGTTTGAGATGATCATGTTGTTTTTAGTTTTTGCTGTATTGATATAGTGTATTGCATTTATAGATTTTCAAATATTGAACCATCCTTGCATCCCTAGGATGAATCCTATCTTTGTTTTCTTAAAGGACTTGAAGTACTCTGCTCCATGCTCTTCTTTGCCTTCCTGGTTTGTGAAGAGAAGTCGACCATAATTCTGATGGGTTTTCCTTTGAATGTGGTCTGCTTCTTTTCTCTAGTGGCTTTCAGCATATTATTCTTGTGCTGAATTTCTGGGATCTTGACTATTATATATCTCGGTGTGTTTTTCATTGGGTTGAGGTTTCTTGGCGTTCTGTATACTTCGGTTACCTGAATGTCAGATTGTTTCCTCATATTTGGAAAGGTTTCTGCTATTACTTCTGCCCATATTCTTTTTATATCATTTGTATTGACTCCATCTTTCTCATTGATGCCTATTAGTCTCACATTGTTCATCTTTGCATCATCTTGCAGGTGATGGATTATTCTTTCCTGCATCCTCGTTGTTTTTAAGAGATCCTTTCTTACCTTTTCACTAGTTGCACCAGCATCTTCAAGATCTGAAACTCTTGTCTTCACTTTCACTTAAACAGTTTTGCAAGCTTGTGATTGAGATTTTAATTTCCTCTATGTCTCTTTGACTCTGCTTCATGCGATCTATTTCTTTCCTGTATTGCCCATTCAAGGAATCTGTCATTTTTCTAATCTCCTCTATTTTTTTTAATCAATGTCTTCTTTAGAAGCTGTTATAAATTCTTTCACTGCAGTGTTTTTTTCAGATTGGGTTTCCTTCCTATATTTCTGTAGTTCATTCTTTACTTCAGATGCAATGAGTTCTGAGAATTCTTTTTTTATTTCAGAAAAGAATTCCGCTCTGAGTTCCTCTATAACTCTCTGCTGTTGTTTATTTCAATTGACGGTATTAATTCATACATTTGAGCTGAGCTAGTAGAAAAGAATTCCACTCTGAGTTCCTCTATGACTTTCTGGTGTTGCTTATTTACTATAGATACTATTGATTCATACATTTGAGTTGAGCTAGTGTCCTCTGCACTTGTTCTGGGTGGGCATTGGCTTTCCTCCATATGTTTCTGCATTTGATTGTTTACTGCAGATGTTATTAATTCAGGGATTTCTTTTTTATTTCCAATCTGAGTTCCTCTATACCTTTCTGCAGCTGTTTCTTTATTTCAGAAGCTGTTGATTCATTGCTTTCAGCTGTGTGATTCCCAATTTATTCTGTAGAGTCCTCTGCGCTTATTATCGGTGGGCTTGGGTTCTGAGATTGCATTGCATTTTGTTACTTGTTGTCAGTTTGTGTAGCACTGTCTTCTGACCTTTGTTGTACATCTTTTTTGCAGTTATAGCCTTAGCACCTACTGAAGTTCTGGTGTAGATCTACAAAGTTTGGATTTATCCAGCTGTGCCTGACTTGGGTCTGGCTGCTGTGCTCAGTTCCTTCCTGCTGCTGCTCTTGGGGGTGAACCTGTTGTGCCCCTCTGGCAAGATGTTGTACTCCTGTACTAGCTGGATGGTTCTGTCCCCTACATTCTCTGCAGGGATTGCAGCTGCAGGGTTTCACCCCAGGCCTATATGCCAGGCCTGAGCTGAGTCTGGAGGGGACAAGGTGGAGTAGGGAGAAAACCCAGCTCTCCGACACACTCACCCGGCCTGGACTAGGACTAAATCTGGGGGTTCCCAGAAAGGGCCAGAAATTCCTACTCTGTGGGCAGGGTGTGGTGAAGTACTACGGAGTGATGGGGTGTGTCCCAGGAGGGTGACAGAGGGTGTCACTCAGTCACGTCAGCACAGGGTAACCAGAACCTCTTCCACACACTCATGGGGACTTGGCTTGGACTGGATGTGGGGGTTCCTGGAACACAGCAGAAATTCCTACTGGGCAGGCAGGGTAGTGAAGTGCTGCGGAGGTGTGGGGGTTGTCCCAAGGGGGTGGAAGAGGGTCTCACCCACGCTGCCTCTGTGCTGGGACCAGTAGGTCCCGCTGTTAAGGGGTAGCCGGAAGCTCTCCCACACACTCTCCGGGCCTGGGCTAGGACTGGGTCTGGGGGTTCCCGGAACGTGGCAGAAATTTCTACTGGGTGGGCGGGGTGGGGGAGGTGCTTTGAAGTGGTGGGGGGCGTCCCAAGGTGGTAGAAGAGGGGTCTCACCCATGCTACGCCTGGGCTAGGACCAGAGGTCCCGCCGGCGCAGGGTAGCCGGAAGCTCTCCCACACACTACTGGGCCTGTGCTAGC